AAATCGCGGAAAATGATCCAGTCAGATCGCAGAGAGGGTCAGAGGGAATTTACGTGTTGGAGATCGTGAGTGAGAGACAATGCAACCCACGATTCAGTCGGAGTTACGTCACCGTGTGCAATCCAGCGAAGGCCTGGTTGAATATGAAACAAACGGAGTGGTTTAAGCTTTGGTGGGGTCTCTCACACGATGACCTCAGTTTTCACTTGGCCAGACAAACGAGCTATAGACTAAACAGTGCTCACCACGATCGTTCATGGTCTCATGAATGAAGTATTCTCGATACAAACGGGGTGGTAGCGGATGACGTAAAATGGGTTGAACGTTAGCAATGTTCAGTATAGCACTGAAAGAGACCGTGAGTCAGCCTCAGCCGCGTAACAACTGGGACAGCATAGAATCTTGTGCAAATGCGTACGACTGATATCACGTACTACGGAAAGGGGCACGACAACTTATCGGGGTTGAGGTGTTTGTGTGTGGCGAGTACGTTTACCTGTGAGTTAGATGACTGATAGGCCCAGAATGTTCTTGTGGCTGACTTTGACCGCCTTCGGTAAAATGCTCGGTTCCTTGATTTGGGTGACATTTGATATTTTCTGCACCGTCGGTTGCGTTCGAATGGACTGCTGTACAACGGCAAAATCTTACGCTGAAGAGACAAAGTGACTTGTTTTGGTTGCTCATGAAAATGATCGCGATTGGCAAACCACTTCCGCTGCTCTGAGTGGGCATGTACGAACAGCTTACGGTTGGGTGTTCGATAAACAACATAATCATATAAATGGACGACATGGCGGACACAAGAGGAACAGTTTGTGCGAACAGGAATTAAATCAGTTGACTGAATGGGTCAGTGAGGATTATACAGTCTCTTTGGTGACATTACGACTGAAGTTAAAAGCGGAATGCAGAAAAGAGGTCTGCCGCAACACAGTCAGCAATTATTTGGATAGGAGACAGGTAACAATGGAGAAAATATATACCTTCTCAGAAACTATGAATTCCGATGTAAACAAGTTGAAAAGGAGACCGTTTGTCAGTGAATACAATTATGTATTACCGAAGGAAAAAAACACTGTATGAATCGATGAATGTAAGTCAGCATACAAATACTAAGCATGCATCTGAGTAAATTTCAACCTCTTTTGCCCTAGAACACGTGGTTGATCCCTACGAGGAGAGGAGGCTCGCTACGTCCATGCAAGCAGCAGAGGGCGAAATCTTCACATTCTTGGAGGTATGTCAGAGCATGGCATGATTAAATATACACTAAGACGTGGATCCCTTACCAAGGAAACCTATGATGCGTATTTATGTGGCCTTCTGGACAGTCTTCCCGATAACCAAAGGTCGTGTGCGATAACGCGCCATGTCATACAGGTTTGGAAGAAGTGCTCATGGAACCAGAATGCCCCGGCGATAGGCTCCTATGGCTTGTGCCATACTCACCTGCACTGAACCTAATTGAAGGTGCATGGAGTGTGATTAAACAGTGTGCAGCTGAACTGCGTGGTTCGCTAACATTTGACAGCGAGCGAGCGAGCGGAGCACAAGCTCTTGACGGATAGAAAATACGGCAACGAGGACAAAATAGGTTGCACACTGTTTTAGGAGCGGATGAAAAGTGCAAAGTGCAGCCAAGTGGAGGTGTTTTGTCGTTGCTCTTCCTCTAGCCGTATGTTATTTGCATTTTTACATTGTGTTATACTTCACACGCGTCTGAGTCCGGACTATGCGCTAACCAGATCAGGGCACAGCAATTCATGTCACAGAGAAATCAGTCCATGAGTTGCTCATGGGCGGAATATTGTCAGGTTAACCAAACAACCCAGGTGAATTTTCCTAGGGAACTCACAAACGAAGCTTTTGGCTAGTCAACTTTTCACTCACAAGGCAGTTTGGTGATGTATGAAAACCTTAACCGATTGGGGACTGGGGTCCAGTTCATCATACATCCTTTGGACTGGGTCAAACGTCTAAACTCGCGTTGAATTCATTGACTGATTACCTCAAAACGGAAGACATATAGTCGAAATAAATATGACCGATGTGACCCATGTGCCCCCCTTCTCTCTGTAGGGTTCAGTTCAGTTCATTTGCGTTTTTACAACCATTAACCATGCACTTAAGTGTGCCGGTTTTGGTTGTTGTTTTTTGGCCGCCCATTTGGATAAAAGAGAAAATTGAAGATAGGAATGCTAAGACCAAATTCAAGTGGAGGATAGAGAATCCATGTAGACTGAGGTTGCAAGAATAATGAGTAGGTGCACAAGCGCTACTATTTGCGAGACCCAGCCATATCGCTCAGTGTCTCTAACCATCGATGACCATGATCTTGGGATCGCCATTCAAGGAGCTTGAAGGGACCCATGTTACCAAGCCTCTTGGTTAGGGTTTTCAAGCCCTCATGCCAGGTCTTCAGTTAACCACCCTTGACCTTTTTCCACCCAATATCTGCCTCGAGAAACATCGCTCGACGTGGAAACCTACTTGGTGACATACGCAACACATCCCCCAACGAGCGTAATCTATGAAGATCGACTTACCCTAGTGGACGACCGCGATTACCTAAAACTCTACACCTAACCTCAGCGTCGCTCGTCCTGCTACCCCACCAGACTCGTGCGATGCGACGTAGACTGCGATGTTCGAACACCGACAATCTGTAGGGTAATAATGATCGGAAGTTTTTCAACATGAAAAGAAAAACACAATGATAGTCATACCTGCCACAGGAGGCATGTCCCACGGAATAGCCGGTTGATCCTTGTGTTTCTTGTATTCCCTTGCCACTTGATCAATTTCTTTACTGAATTGGATTAGGGCTCGAAAATAGCCCGGTTCAATAGCAGACTCGACCAATCTTAACTGGTCAAATTGTTGAATCACCTGAATGGCCATTTGAGCACTGGGGATGAGGTCCAGTTTGGAAGCAAACAACTCCTCAAGACCTGTCTGAATACGAAAGTGTCCAGAATTCTATTGGTGAGCTATATGCACATACATAAGGATAGTATGGTATAATTAGAACACGACTGACTTCTAAGATCACAAATCCGTTTTGATATTTCAACTTAACTTCTTTTTTTCTGTTTTTGTGTGTATTTCCTTGATCCATTTAGATTATTACTGCTGATTATTGTTGTTCGGAAAAAGAACAAGCAATAAAAATTACAGGGATTCGGATAAGAAATAACGCTGGAGCGGATGCCGCGTGTTCTATTAAGCACGTGGTCCTAATTCTTTATCGTATGTGTGCGCGCGCGGTGATAGCCAAGTGGTTAGGTCACCGGATTGCGACCCGAAATCTGTATTTCCCCAGGCAGCCTTTCTATGACCGCAGCCCCCTTCCCGAAATTAGTCTGTACAATTGTATAGGTAATAAATAAAAAAGAAAGTAAAAGACATTTATTATTATTATTATTATTATTATTATTATTATTATTATCGGGCAGTCTTGCTATGACAAGCTGACATTTGGCAATATCACTATGAAGAAACGTGTACTGAACTACGTCCTGAAAATCACAAGCCGCAGGTGGAGTGCGGTCCGACCTGTGACGTCCAGAACAATATACCTATTCTGCTTTTGTTGTAAATCTGCACTTACTTCTCCTTCACCAACGGAGAAATCTCCATCGGATACAAAGGCTGGCCATTCCAGATTTCAAATTCGTGTTTGTTGTTGACATCTTGATTTCTCAATCTATTCCACTTAATTGGTAAAACTGAGATCTTACAGTGAACTTCGTCGCATACGGAGCAAATGAAGCATGAACGAAAAAACTAGGAAGCACTGGACAGATGTTTTGACCTGGTTGGGTCTCATCCGCAGAGTGAATCGATTGATCCAACTTGGGATCGAGCACGGGAGCTCAAATGTAGAACTCAAGTATACAACCCACCTAACTATCGGTTAGCGGATCGGTATTTTTTCTACTTTTACCAGTCGAATGCGCAAGTTTCACCTTGCTTCTATTAGCATTGGCTTTTCAGATTCAAACTCAGTCAGTTTGTGATTCATCCGATGACATTAAGCAGTCAACTGCTAATAAGATTTTCTTTTTTACACGGTATGAAGTAAACTGAGGAGCGTCGGAATCCGTTTTCAACACAAGCAAAAATTCATTCAGGCCATATTTTGTTGATCTAATCTTAAGATCTGTGCAAAAAAACCGCTAATTATGTCAGATTGTTTCCGAACGGTGGAAGAAAAAAAACCCGTAAGTGCATCGAAAAGCTGTGCTAAAAATTGTACAGTGACTCGAAAAGCGATGCGTGGGGGGGGGAGATTGATTAGCACATTTTATTAGGTTAGTATTTTATACTTGATCGTAAAACCTACACGCAAAAATGTGAATTGTTGCCTTATTTTGGATTCTACATACCAGAACATTTTCATATTTTCAAGTTGATTACTAGGGGGAAGAAAACGGTCTTTTATCTTCCCACTTTACCTGAATTGCTTTCATGCGTTCAAAAAATAGTTCAAATTCTTCATCTACTTCAGTATCACGTTGATCCAAAACATTCAACGGTTTCTTTGTCAGCTGAGTCACTGCTGTGGTGTACTGTCCAATCAGGGGTGCCAAGCCTTCAATATTTGATGTTTGCATTTGTGCATAGTGTTCCGTCTGCTCCAGAACATCCCGGATCGCTTGCAGTCGACGACAAAATATATTGAATTTACCAAAGATGTATATTTCGGAGAAATCAAACTTTCGTGAGTCAGGACGACGGTCCAGTTCTTCTTTGACTCGATGAAAGTTCTCCTGATACGCCTCGTTCAAACGACAACAATCAATGAGTCTTCTCACGGTGTCTGCAAACGGCTTTGTCCACATGTCTCGTCTGCCCCGATCGAATATATAGGCGCGACAAGCCAAAATCATCTGATTGGTTATCTTGACCAGTAAAGAGGTGATATTTTCGGCCGTGTTATAATAGGTAGATACACCATAGATCAATCGAACGGCGTTGATTAGCTTTGGTAAACAGTCTACCATGGTCACCTGTAAAGACATTCAAATATGCAGTTTGTTCAAGTGGATTTGAATTTATTTGAGGAAAAATGCAAAACAGAGCGGCGTGATGCAGTATTTTCTGTAAGTATAAACAAGTAAATAGGCACGTTTTTGATATCTTATTATCATGCCAGCATAATGTAGTTTATGCAACCAGTGATACAGTGGGGATTGGGAAAATAAAGGTGGGAGCCCCTACACCAGTATATCCGAACTTTTCCGAACTCAAGGGGACTTAAGTACGACCATCCTGTCCATTATTACTACCTCGTTTTGTAGTGAGAATCCGTTCAGTGTTGATGCACAGTTCGGTCTTCCTTTAATTGATTGATACGTTGCAGTCCGTATACGAACAGATGATGCTTACCAGCTGCTGAAACGAAAGCCATTTGACACTTTTAAAGTGAAATAATTATGAGATTTTGGCGCAGAACCTTCAATTAGTTTTTAACCTCTAATTTCCCAACCGGTAACGCCTGAATTGTTTCCAATGGTAACCAAAACAGTTAAACACATCAACCCTAACTGATACCTTGACCTTGTTGTTCCTGATAGTGTACCCCACCAAGATACAGAAATACATGGATGGTGTATTCACCAGGAAATGACCAAAGCCGTTTGTTCTGTAGGATAATCGATTTTTACCGATTTCTTTAGGGAATCTAATAAATTCGTTATTTTTCTACCATTTATGTAAAGCTGAGCTACAAAACTCTGACAGAATGTGGAAAAGTGAGTGTTGATGAGGTCATCAAATCGGTGTCACCGATTTCTCAGTGGTTATCCTATATTTACAATATCTCTGTAAACTTCTTTTTATAAACAATATGAAATCGAGCAATTTATGAAGTTAGCTTAACCAACATTGAGTTTATTTTCCGAATGAAGCTTGTGGTCTACGAAGCAGAGAATAGTAGTGGAAAATAATGCCTTCATCATTTGGTTACAAAGCACAGAATAATTACGAACAACTTTGTCAGACTGTATCAATCCATGCTCTCAATATATGTCCCAGGTACTCACCGGATCTCGACGGTACAACGGTTCACAGTATTCTTCCAAAGCATATAGGAATTTCACATTGTCCTTCGCCTCATTCGCATAGTTTGTCACTTTGGCGTCAACCTGTATCCATCTCTAACACCAAGAACAATACACAGTGAAAAAATACTTTATTCTGGTGTAAATAGTGTGAGAATTGTTTACAAAATTATTCGATATATCAGCCTTGAGGCTGAACCAAAAGGATACCAAAAGCGAATCTTAATGCATAACGGGAACATAACGGACGAATTATCCGAATTACCTTAATTGACTTGATTTTCTATCCTATGAACTCAGATTCGGATTGGAAAGTACCCGCTGCTGATTACCCACAGCACGGATGAATCAAATCTGAATTGTCTCTCAGCTTTTTCAGCTGTGATTTTCTTTGTTTTCCTTTTACACTACCTTGTGCTCAAGTCAGCGTAGGTCTTTCACTTTTGTGATATGCATACAAGGGTTATTCCATTACTGAGTTTGTGACCTTATTTTCCTTGAAACCGTACCACATGTTGTCGTTCCCATCATTCAACACACTCCCAATTCCACCAAATTTCATCTCGAATTAACGCTTACCGTAATTCACCTATACCGTGTGGTGTTAATTGTACGTTGGAGACGAGGGACCCCAATCTCACAATTACCCCCAGAGGGTCGGAATGTCTGGCGGATA